GATTCTTTCCTAATCCTGCGTGCGGGGGGCCAATCAGCTTCGCAAATGACAGTTTTTTGGGCTATTTTTGTAAAACTGCGCTGGAATCCGATGCGCGTAAATTAATCCAAATAAACCAATGGCGCATCGTTCCTCGAAGACACGAGTTAAATCGATGTATGCTTCAGAGATCCGGCGGTCAGTGAGGTCACCACACTTGTTTAACAAATGTTTTACGAGAGGAAGGCTCATACTATGGATTAACAGCCATGGTACAAGTGTAAGCCATCTCTGATACCTCCGTCTCTTGATCAGAGGTTGAACACGCGTTCGTAGGCAATCCAGATAGAGACAAATTCAGCATACGAGCTAATGATATAAAGAATCTTGCATGTTTCACCAGAAGAAACAAAACGATCATGCAATGCATCCTGCGTTTACTTTACTGATCCAGATTTAGTTAATATAGTTAATATAATAATATAAACTTGTCCACAATAATTATTTAGACGATCTTTACCCTCGAAGATGACAAACTGGTGCAACGACAGAAAGCCACGAAGAAACACGAGAAAGACTCGGTCATAGTTCGGGAAGTTCGAGAAGAAAAAATGTTTGTGGTAAGGAGATTGCTTTCTGATAATAAATTTTATGCCGTTCCCACTATAGGTAATAACCTGCGAAAGAGTAGTATGTAAACGGGTTTTGAAACGACTATCATAGCATTACGATAGCTCTACAAAGTTATTTTTTGTTTCAAAATACGAAGCTTTGTTGATCTTCGATTGTTGTGCCATTATTGATAGCTTGTTGATCGCAGCACTTAACGAAATTTTTCAATAAAACGTTTTATTACACCTTGCGGATGTTGTCTAAGGTCAATTGTAAAGTTACATCAGCCGTGTCACAAAAACTTGCACTTAGTTAATGAATGGATCAGGTTGATCTGCTTGAGTATGTTTAAGAAAGCGGTACTCCATATTTGCAGCAACATAAAATTATTCACAATAAGCGCAAGCTGTTTCTATGGAAAAATGATGCGATTTGCGCCTGGCACTAGAGGTGCTCAAATATCATGAAGCCGTGGCCTGCTGAACTGTTTTTCCTAAGCAACTAAGTGCAATTGAGTGATGCATTCGGCCATTAAATCTGCTACTGGAGGTATTATTCGTTACCTGACAAAAAATTGGCGATTTAACTTTTCAGAGCAACTTAGTTAATGATAGCACACTCAGCATGCACTCAGAGGAAACGCGCAATTTACTGCACCTACCAGAAACTTAACAAAGCTGAGATTTGCTGCACCTGTAATCTTACCGATTGCAAGCAACACATGAAAACTGGAACTACCCCGAAAACAGAGAAAAAGCACAAATCCAGTGAGACATTTGATATGCGGAGTCCCTGACAACCACAATCTTGCCGAAAGCTTCAAATTGATCCACTGGATCCAAGATAACCTAATACTCAACTCTTCTAATACTCTAATACCTAATACTCAACTCTTCTAAAGAACACATAAGAACGAAACGTTTTTAACCTTGTTATGAGAAGAATGAAGATTATGTTGAAAATACAGTAAGACATCCTCCAAAGAACAGCACGATTTGACCTCAAAACGAGTCTTTTTGACATATTATTGGGTATACTACGACACAGTGCGCAATTGTGTCATCTTTAAACTAGCTTTTTCTGCCTTTCCGCACCCCTTAACATCAGCCCATACAAATCGCTAAATGTTTACTCCCGCATTTTATTTTAAAATGCAGGTAAAACGGTACAGAAACGTTACCTGAAAATCATACAGAAATAATTTCTCTAGGCATATTTTCAAATAGCTGAAGGCTGTTTTCGTTAGAAGCTCGATGGTGAAATTCGCTGTGTCACAGATGTTGGTCGCACCATTCGTTAAGGCAATTAAAGCATGCCTCCGCATGATGTGACGAGACGCCTGCGGCTTCTTTTAGCCATTCCATGAAGAGGTCTTTCTGCTTCTTCAACAGCAAAAATTGACCAAGAACGACGTAGGCCTAAAAACAGAATTACGTAAATATGGAAAAGTAAAATAAGCAAAGAATGCTACCACAGTTATATAAGAGAATTTGACAAAATACAATGCAGGTTCACGGCTCAAAACAGATGTAGTTGTGAACCCACAAAAAATATGCTCCATCACCTCTACGCTTTAGAAAATACCATCCATCCATGCATGTAGCATACAAGTTTATCTTTATATCATCCACTAAATTTACTACATTATTATTTCAACGCTTCATTTTGTCAATTTTTAGTATACGAACCAATGTACACGTATAAATAAATTACTCCAGAGACTATGCAAATGATCATTTTGCATAATTTTTGCATGCAGTCAAAAAATTATTAATGCCGATAAATTCCTTCTTATTGCATTTAGTGCATAGTGTATTTAAATGAAATATATCGCAGTACTCCGATGATATTCATCAAAGTTCTAAACACACGGATGATAATCTTAACTAATGAATTTAACTCGATGCTTTTAATTAACTGAAATATACTATAATTAATTAATGTACATAACATGAAACGAAAAATGTTTGCCCTTACAGCAGAACACACCATGTCAATAAAGATAGATAACAGATTCTAAAAAGAGTGGAAGATTTCTATTAAAAAGTGCAGAAATATGAAGACTGTACATCTTTGATGATGATAAACAATTAAAGACACAATGAAGATACAAATTACAGATACAACGAAACTGCAGATATCTTGTCAGATGAAATATAACATGTAATAAAGCAGAAGAAGCAATTAAGAACTCTAGGTGAAGACGACACTGCAACGGAACTCGTGCAATCATGAGGTGATGCATTCACAAAGATATTAGCGCGTTTGTCTTCACGCTGTCTGACGGAAATAGAAATTCAAGACGACTGAACTATCGCATAAGCGATTCTACTCCACAAAAACGATATAGATTTTAAAGATATATCATCGGAGATCAGTATCAATTATTTATTAGATCTTCACGAAGGTGCTCACAAAAAGAAAAATTGTACACTGTACAGTCAAAGAAGAAAGCAGAATTCAGAAGTGAATTTGGTATGATGAATCATCTTCAGATAAAACAACAAGTAATTCAAACTAGCAAGGAACGTCAGCTTCCGCATTGCCTGGGAGTCATCGATTTTGAAAAGGTTTTCGACTCAATCAACATCCGTTCTGTACTGGTTAAACTGAAGAGACAGGGAATCGAGGAAATAGACAGCGATCTCATCGCCACGATCTATACACAATGTCATGCCAGTGCTAAGCTTCTTCAAAACACACTCAAGTTCAAAATTGAAGCGGCCTTTCGACATTGTGACAATATCACAAAAGTAATTTATAGCAGCTCTAGAAGAGATTTTCAAGACAAATCAGGGGTTGAACATAAAAAGACACTACGTAAATCACCTAATGTTTGCGGACGAAGTTATGAACCTCTTAAAATTGTCAAGAGAACTTCAAAAAAAGAATCCAAGAGCTAAACGACACCAGTATCAAAACAGCACTGAAAATGAACTGGAAGAAAATTCATGGCAGAACGACGCAGCCTCTTGAATAAGTGCAAAACTACATCTATCTGAGGCAGCTTATTTTTGAGAATCGACTAAGTGAAATCAGCAGCAGATTAAAAATGACGGAGCACTTTCGAAAGATTCAAAATGTTCCTATCTGGCAAACTGCCCTACTGCCTGAAACTACGCAATCCACAATGGAAAGAAACATTTGGAGAATAACAAGAATACATATGAAAGCGAATGAATGGACGAGAAAAATCACCCAGAAGAGCCTGTGACGTCATTGCCTAAGTGAGGAAGATAAAACAGCA